TGATAAATGTGGCAACCTGCGGACGGATTACTTAAACGATACAGCATTCTGTAAAACATAAATATCTGATTGAAACAGCTTTATGTAAGACATACAGAGAGCTAAGTAAACTGTAACCAAGTAATAATATGTCTAAAGACATTTCTGCGCCTTTCTATAAATATCAGTGTTTTACATCTTAATTATTGTTCTTTTGAATTCTATAATCTATTATAACATAAAAAGGGTCACCCATGAACTCATTAAGCCTTATCTTTTAGACACTTCTCTGAGATAATATGCGTGCACTGTTAACCGTGATTACATCCCACTTATTATTACACGTTAGAAGGATAAATTAATGTAGCTAATTAAGCCTAATCTATTGGACACTTCTCTGAAATAAAGTGCGTGCATTGTTAACTGTGATTGCATCCCACTTATTGTTATACGTTAGAAGAAAAAGTCAAACTAGTTCATTAAGCCTAATCTTTTGGACACTTCTCTGAGTTAAAATAAGCGCATTGTTAACTGTGATTGCATCCCACTTATTGTTACACGTTAGAAAGATAAGTCAAAGTAACTCATTAAGCCTAATTTCTTATACACTTCTCTGGGTTAAAATGCATGCTTTGTTATCCTCGAACACTTACTGTTATACGTTAGAAGGACAATGAGTAAAGAAACTCAATCTTTATTATTAGATAATAAAAAAAATTGATGAGATCTTGCTTTTGTAAAATGCAATTCTTTTAAAACACGACTTCATTTAAAAGAAATACGGTTTTAATTTTAGCATTGTGAGTATAATGTTGACCGTTAGATGTCCTACTGAAATACGAGTTCGTGTTATGAGGATTTGTATGACACAAGAAAAACAACACTTAGTTCAACACCACCCGTCTCTCAAGATAATTTCAGTTGATCATCATGATACTTCTGACTATTCTCATTCTGTTTAAGCTAAGTGTGAGGAACTGAACTTGTGTCACTACAATATATACAAAGCAACGTCAAGATGACATTAAAGTAATAAACTTGTACTGATATTTAACAAAAAATAATCATAAGTCAAGACATTTCATTTCTTCAGGGAAGCTTCCTCAGTTGGTAAAATATATGATTTTTCTGTAAAGTAACTTTAATAAAACTGTAACTGATTCATATTGTCGCATAACTAGCCACAAATAAACACTTTGAAGAAAAATCTCTGATGCTTCATTACTCACAAAAATCTCTGATACTTCATAACTCACAAAATCTCTGGTACTTCATTGCTCACAAAAATCTCTGATACTTCATTACTCACAAAAATCTCTGATACTTCATTACTCACAAAAATCTCTGGTACTTCATTACTCACAAAAATCTCTGATAATTCATTACTCACAAAAATCTCTGATAATTCATAACTCGCGAGAATATCTGATGGACAAATTATGTCAGCAGATTTTGATTTCTATTCACACGCATCATGTGTTTCACATTTCTTAGTGAGAAGATAACCACCACACTAGAATACTTTCACTTGTCGCTACAAGCACGATCTATTGATTACCTGGATGTTTTTTACTCAGAATTTCTTTGAGTAGTTCAATTAAGAAACGCCCTTTCCTGGTGGGCCTTATTATATAAGGAACATACACTGTTGCGGTTGATGCATGTTTGAACATTAAAAAAAAAATTGTTCACAGAACCGTAGCCTATTCAATATTTCTTTTGAACCAATGAGAACAAATCCAGGTCATTTCATAGTCTTATTATGCACCAGTATGTTTTGGCATATATATTCGAAAGAGCTAATGAAAATACTGAGCTCTAAGCGGACTTGTTTTCACTTATGTTGATCCCCAGATGTTCATTTTCTACAACTATGAACGAAATCATGATCACAATATTTTATATTAAAACTACTAAAGCCAGGAAACTCTGCGGCACGAATTACTTGATGTCTGTAAAACCACACAAGTTTCGGAAATATATTTTCTTTGTCCTTTCCTGCCTCCACATTAACAACTCCAACAGACTCAATAGTAGGTTTTACTAGATCTGTAAAACTACATAATTTTCGGAAAACAAGTTACTCATTTCCTTTCCACAACACTAGTATATTCAGTGATAGGTTATACTAGTATTATAAAACACCATTAGTAGTAAGATTTTACAGGACATTACTACATATTCCTTTTATACTAATATCAGGAACTGCTGTAAGATTATAATCAAACCTGGTGTATTCTTTCCATGCAAAGATTTAGGACAATGAATTGCTTTGAAATTATATCCGTTCCTTTTTCTAGTTATATCTACACATACAAAATTATTGTACACTCGGCAGTAGGCTTAACTACGTGTATAAAGCTATATAAGCTCTGGATGTCAAAGTTCTTTCTGTTTCTATCTGTACATCATCAGCTCTTGTAGTCAAAATGATGTGAATTACTTAGAATCACTTGATGTTTGTACGACAGGAAGTATAAGGTCATCTGATTGTGAACTATCAATATATTACTGAGTGAGGAATCAAGTTTTTCACAAAAATTTGAAACGACGAACTGTTGTAAGATTTTTTCCCGATATTAC